GCCTGTGGGGGGTATGGGCCGGCCTGTGTCCTCCTGGCCAAGTGCTGGCCTGAAGTTGCACAAAACCACAATGGCCAGCTGAGTCCTAACCCTTGGGGGACCTGTCTGTCGTTGTCTTTGACCCCTGACGTGTCTAGCACCCCTACGAGAGTCTGTTGCCCTACATCTGTGGCCCTCCCTTTGACTAAAACACTGGATCCCACTTCCAGCCGTAACATTTGTAGAAGGGGTGTAGTTAACCTGGTTTCACTTGGTGGTTGGTTGGTCAGTTTCTTTGGGGGTTTTCTTGGAGATAACTAGTGCCCGATCAGGTCCTAGTAAGGCAGAGCAGCCTTCAGGAAATGAAGTACATGCACGAAGATCACTGTGTTGGGAACCTTCAAACAAGAGAGTGAAGTCCTGATGTGCTTGAGTGCACCTTGAAAGACTGAAGTGCACTCAGAGTCATCTAGGGGCCATACCAAATTAGGTGGATGTGAATGGTGTTAGAGGTGAGAGTCCCTGTTGCAGCTGTTGGGAGCTTTCACCTGGTGTACCTTGGCCGTAGCAGAAACTGCAGAGCCAGTGTGGGCAGGGGGAAGAAACCTCACCCCAGTGGGGCCCTTGGAGGGTAGTCCCCAGGCCTTGCAGAAAGGGGCACTGTCTACCCGGCTTTGCCAGCATGGGGTCTGCTGTGGTGGAGCCCTGGGTGGATCACAGCCTGCTTGTGGGGAAAGGATGAGTTCTGCTCCTGGACGGAGGGCTTTGGAAGGCAGAGGAGTGAGGCAGCAGTCCCAGACAAGCCTGAGCCGGGCCTTGGGACAGCCCAGGATAGCAAAGCAAGGTCAGGGCCTGCCTGCGTGGCCTGGACAGCCTGAGCACTCCCAGGACTCAGGCATAGGGTCAGTCCTCTGGGCTTCTGGTAGAGGGGCTGGGGGAGGCAGAGACAACCAGACCTTGACCTGCCTGGGCCCCAGTGGCGCCGTGCACCTCCTCAGCTCCAGGAAGGCCAGCCCTGTGCAGCTTCCTTTTTGGAAGTGTCAAAGACTCCTTTCCCCACCCTCTGCCCCGTCATTCAAGTCCAGTCCCACTTCCACTCTGGGCCGTCCCCTCCCATCCGCCACCTCTGAAATCCAGAGCTGTCTGTGGCCACAGAGGGGATGCTTAGCCAGGAACTGTTGTGACTGCTGGGGCATGTCTATGTCCATTGGTACTGGGAGGATGGTCCCAGGTCCTTTAGTTTTTCTCTCAACCCTCCAGAGAGAGAGAGTTCCATCAAGGAACATGACAGTCACAGTCTAGGTCAGGGAAAAGGACTGGAGGCTGCACCTTGCTGTGTCACCTGCATGTACCCAAGACTTGGAGCCTCAGTTTCTCATCTATAAAGCAGGAGTGGAAATAGTCATCTCGGATGTGAAAGGCTTTTTCTTTTTCTTTTTCTTTTTTTAAATAACTTTTATTGAATCAAAATTGATTGTACATATTTTTGGGGTTCAACATTGAGATATGCTGATCAAATCAATATTACTAGCATGTATATTGTTACAAATCATAATTATTCTTTATGCCCCTTGTTCAATCTCCCAATCCCCCTCTCCCTCCCCCCTCTCCTCTCTGATAAACCTAGATTTCTTCTCTCCCTCTGAAAGAATAATGGTTACTCTTGATTTGTTGCATGGATGATCTGTCCAATGCTGAGAGGTGTGTTCAGGTCCCCCAGTATTATCATTGAGCAGATGCTTCTTCTGTCACCCTGAAATGGGCTTTGTGAGACATCCTCTTCTTTTCTTTATCTCTGCTGGTGACTCTCCTTGTGTGAATGCACTCCAGTGGCTGGCGGACCATCTGCGTGGTGGTTGTGGCGTCTAGCCACTTTCACAGCAGTCATGGTTATTGTGGTGGCTGTGGTGGGCCACCCACATGGAGGTGATGTTTTTTGGCATGCTCCTTTGGTGCTGGCAGTGTGCCTTGTTGTGGGGAGTATCTGGTCCTTGGCTCTAAGCCTCAGGTCCCCAGGCGAGCCATGAGGCCCTGGCACTGTGTTCCTGGTTGTGGGAGGGAGGTCCAGTCCCCGACCACATACCTTGGGTCACCAGGCAGGCCCTGAGGTGCTGGTGTGGTGTGTCTTGTTGTCGGAGGGAGGTCTGGTCCTCTTTTCCATGCCTCGGGTCCCCAGGCAGGCCCCAAGGTGCTGGCACAGTGCCTGGTTGTGGAAGGTGGGTCTGGTCCCCAGCTCCATACCTCAGGTCCCCAGGCAAGCCCCAAGGCACTGGTGCAGTGTGCCTGGTCGCAGGAGAGAGGTCTGGTCCTCTTTTCTATGCCGGGTGGGCCCTGAGGCACTGGCACAGTGTGCCTGGTTGTGGGAGGGGAGTCCGGTCCCCTTCTCCACACCTCAGGTCCCTGGGAGGGCCCTGAGGTGCTGGCATGGTGCCTGGTTGTGGGAAGTGGGTATGGTCCTCTTCTCCATGTCCTGGGTCCCCAGGCTGGCCCTGAGGTGCTGGTGCAGTGCCTGATTGTGGGAGGTGGGGGTCTGGTCCTCTTCTCCATGTCTTGAGTCCCTGGGTGGGCCCTGAGGTGCTGGCACAGTGTGCCTGGTTGTGGGAAGTGGGTCCGGTCCTCTTCTCCATGCCCTGGGTCCCCAGGCTGGCCCTTAGGTGCTGGCACAGTGCCTGGTTGTGGGAGGTGAGTCTGGTCCCCGGCTCCATACCTTGGGTTGCTGGGTGGGCCCCGAGGCACTGGTGTGGTGTGCCTGATTGTGGGAGGTGAGTCTGGTCCCCAGCTACATGCCCCAGGCCCCCGGGTAGGCCCTGAGGCACTGGTGGTGTGAGTGGTTGTGGGTGGGGGTCCTGTCTCCCGGCAGGCCCCGAAGGCAGTGGTAGTGTGCCTGGGCTGGAACTAATTTGTTGTCCTTTGCTTACTTCTAACATGGGGGAACTTCCTGTGGGAACGAGTACTTGAGCTGTGTGGTTGAGCTAAATTGCTGCTTTGCTGCTGTTTCCCTAGGAAGGCTTTTTGTGCAGCTCAGGGTTTAATGGTTGACCTTGTAGGTACTTCTGGCTCTCCAGAGACTTGGTGCACCTGGGTTGTGTAGAAACTCTGATCTGGGCCTGAGTTTTTTCATCAAACTGCACCCAATGCAATTCTGCATTCCCGACCAGTCTCCTCTGAGTGGTCCTGTGCTGATTGGGGGGAGGATTGGCTGTCCTTGCTGTGTCCCAGTGTTTTCCTGATGGGCCTGTCTGCCCCACCACCCGTGCTCCAAACAGTTCCCACGGGACGGGCCCTGTGCTGGTCCCTTGTGATGACTCACTGGCCTCTGAATGGCTCCCCTTTTTTCATTTGTTCTGGCTCCTTGCTCCTGCATGAGTCCACAGGAACCCTATTAGTGGTCTTGCTGTCCTGGGGGCCACCAAGACCCTCTTCTCCCCTGCCGCCTCCAAGTAACTCCATCTGAAGGGCACAGCTGTGGCTTCTGCCGGCTCCTGCTCCATCCACTCAGCAGCTCCAGCATTAAAGTGGCCATGGTCCAAAATGCTCAGAGCAGTTTTTTCTTTCTCTCATCATGGTCTCTCCCCTTTCATGAACTCTGTAGGTCTCTCCTCCTCTTCCCCTGAGCTCCAGCAGCCCCAGCTTGGCTGATGTTGCATTTTTATAGTTACCACATTTTTATAGTTGTAAGTTGGTTGATTTGTGGGAGAGAGTGACGCTGGGAACCGTCTATTCTGCCATTTTGACCGGAACTACATGAAAGGCTTTCATAAGCCCTAAAATGCTACATTAATGTAACATATTATCATCAATGTCATTGTTATCACCATCATTTTTATTTATTTTTATTTTTATTACTGCTTGATAATTTATTTCCAGAAAGTTCTAGAACTTGACTTCACCAGCTGGCTTACCAGAATCCCCTTTGGGGTTTGGACGGTGGTTTTGGTGCTCTGGATCTAGAGTCTACCTTCTAAGGAACTAAGGAACTAAGAAAATATACCCAAACCTCAAATGTATTAAGTGAAGTGAAGGCAAGTACAGCTTGATGTCTTCTTTAAGAGAAGACTCATGGCACGTACATGGGGCATTTATTTTTTGTAGCAGTATAATCTGCATTTCTTCTCATCCAATAATTTAGGTTTTGTAAACATATGATTTATCCCTTGGGCACTCTTGGTGGGCATGTAAGATGGCACGGTCACTGTGGAAGATGGTATGGGCATTCCTCAAAAAATTAAAAATAGAATTACCGTGTGATTCAGTGATTCCACTTCTGGGTTTATATCCAAAAAAAGTAAAGGCGGGATCTCAGGTACTTGCACACCTATGTTCGCAGCAGTGTCATTCACAACAGCCAAGGGGTGGAAACAACCCAAGTGTCCATGGATGAATAGATAAAGAAAATGTGATATACAAGTGCAGTGGAATATAATTCATCTTTGAAAAGGAAGGAAACTCTGACACATGCTACACCATGGATGGACCTTGAGGACCTTATGCTAAATGAATTAAGCCAGTCATCAAAGGACAAATACTGTCTGATTCCGCTTTTATGAGGTTTCTAGAGTTGTCACACTCACAGAGACAGAGATAAGAATGGCAGTTGGCGGTGGTTGGGAGGGGGACAGAGTTTCAGCTGAGGAAGATGAAGAGAGTTCTGGAGACAGAGATGGTGACGGCTGCACAACAGTGTCAATGTACTTAATGCCACTCCACTGCACACTTAAAACAGTTCAAGTGATGAATTTTATGTTAGGTGCATTTTACTACAATTACAGATGATTGCAATAAATAATAAAATTTTTAAATAAAGAAAAACTTTTTTAGGAGTGTAAAATTATATGTATTAACTATATAACAGTTTAAGTATAGTTAAATATATATTTATGCACACACACAGACACATATTTCTGCACACATGCCTACGTACACACGCATTTTACAAAACTGTATCCCATTGCATGTCCAGTTTTTGTATCTTGGTTTACTTCTCTAACATATAAAAACAGCCTTTAATTCCCGGTTTCCAGGTCTGCAATGGTTTGGAGCAGCCGAGGAAGCAGCAGCGCTCTGATCTCAATGGACCCGCTGACAATAACAACATCCCAGAGGTAATTTTTTCCAAGGAGGAAAGTTCTGGGCCAGGGCCCTTGGTGTGGAGCTGTCACCCAGTGCCTGGGGACGGGGAGCTCAGGTCAAGCCACATTGCATGTTGGGGAGGAGTAGGGGGCACCCTGGCTGGTGGACAAGGAGGAAAGAGCCTTTCTTGCTGATTTAAGGCCACCCTGTGGAGTTTTATGTGTCACTGATGGTGTACGTGTGTGGAGGGGGATCATTGGTGCTCCCTGATTTGATAGAAACTCATTCTACCCCATTGTGTGATAACCATGTTCTAAGCCAGGGTTTCTCAACCATCCCACCATTGAAATTTAGGGCCAGATGATTCTTTGTTTGGGGGCTCTCCTGTGCACTGTGGGATGTTGAGCAGCATCCCTGGCCTTTACCTGCTAGATGCCAGTAGCAACCCCTCTCCCAGTGTGACAACCAAAAAGTCTTTAGACACTGCCAAATGTCCCCTGGGGGACAGAAATCATCCTGGTTGAGAATCACTGTTCTAAACCAAAAGCATGGTTTTAAAAAACAATCCCGTATAACCACTGCCATGATGTAGGTTATTAAAATGAGGACTTAAGCAGGTTATCTCCCTTCTCTGAGTAACATAGTTTAGATGAGATTTTCTAACTGAAATAACTGTGCCCCTCCAGGCAGTGGCACCCAAGCTCCTTGCTCTTGCTTTTAACCACATGCGAGGCAGCCCCCATGCCCACCAGGTGGATGTCCATTGGGTTGTATGGTCTCTAGGCTCCCTTGGATCCCCGACATGCTAACCTGAAGGTCCCTAATTTTAGATGGTGGGCTTTCATGCCCCTCCCAAACATCATGTTGCCTGAATGAGACTGGTTCGCTGTATGGAGCTGACTTCTTTGGAACACCTGTCGCTCCTGGGGTTAGCTTGTTTCATATGGTGCACAGCTTAGTCCTTCTTAGCCTACATCTTATGGGCCATCTGCTTACACCTGGAATGTGTTTTATTTCTCCATATTCCCTAACAGACAAAGAAGGTGGCATCATTTCCAAGTTTTGTGGCTGGTAAGTGACTTTGAATGTTATCTCTCGGGGCAATTGTGTTTTATGTCAGGACAAATGGTGCTTTCTTTTCCTTTCGGTTTTCTCCAGCAAAGCTTATGTAGAAGGCACACCTTCCAGCAAGGTGCTCAGGCATTTGGTTGTTGGACCCCCTGAGTGGGGAGGAGAGGACCTGCTGATGTGCCCACTTTGATGCAAGGAGCAGTGGACCATCTCATTTAATTACACCTTCGCTAATTGCATCACAGATGACACTGATGACTGAATTAACAGACTGAATGTGTCTGGATAAGCAGCTCATTATGATCTAACACTTTTGATCAGGGTGGATATAATTGCATCCAAATTCAGGCTGTTGTTCTTGTTTTAGACTCTTTATTTCCCTTTACCCTCCCATCGTTTTTGAGGAGATTAATAGTACATTTCAGCAGTCAGTGTAGAACAAACTAATTGATCTGTTCTGGGTCTGGGTTGGTGTGGGGAGCGCAGCTGCGTGGCTGTTGAGGGAGCCGATTGGGTAGTCTGCAGCGCATCGGGCAACTTGTGGGCCGTTAGGAGACCCTGTGGGTGCTTCTGGTGTCCAACGTCAGAGTAAAGTGCCTCTTAAGTAGCATCCGTCTCCTTGCTAGAGAATGTTTCCTGCCCCTGCTAATGTGTTATAATAAACAATGTGAATTTTATTAATTATTTCAATAAGCTGGTAATTAATTCTTATGAATATTTATGGAGCAAGGTAGATCAGTCTTCAGAAATAAATGACTTTTTAACCTTTCCCACTCTGCTTTTCTGAAACCTGGGAAACTGAAGCCCCCAAATTCCCTTTTAAGGGACTAGTTTGAACCAGGCTAAACCAGTTCCAGCTGGTTCAAAATGGATTAACTGGCTCATACCAATTTTGACTGTTGTTAACTGGCTTAATGTCAAATTGGATGAAAATCTGTTTGAACTGTCAGAACCAATATTATACAATTCAAATAGATTTGACTCCATTTTGACCAATTCAAATAGGCTCAAGTAGGTTTTGCCCCGCAGTTCACGTGTGGTTTTAGGTATATTTAAGCTGTCTCAAATTGGCTCAAACTGGCTTTTGTCAGGTCACAACAGGTTATAATGATTCCAACCCAACTGGCTAATTGTAGTTTTCCAGGACCTAATGATTGGCAGGAAGAGACCACCCCCACCCCCACCTCCCGCAGCAGGGTTTGGTCAGGTTCCTGATTTGTAGGAAGCCCCTCCCATAAGCAGGGGTGTGTGCAGAACATCTCTGCACCACTTTCCTTGGTGGTCAGAAGCCAGGGTTCAGTGAGGTGGTGTCTCAGGCATCCAAGAAACTCACTTTTCAACATATCATGGCGTCATTCAGCCACAACTACCTTCAACTGTCCAGGGGGATGATCCAGGCATTAAACTTGCTTGGCTCTTGCACAAGCTCATATCTGCAGGGGAGGGAGGATAGAGGGATCGGGAAACAATATCAATGCCCAGGGTGCCTTTGACTTTAGCTTCTAGCATTCCAGAACTCAATTCTGCATACCACTTCAGACTGTTCCAAACCAAATCAAAACAATGGGGTGCCTCAAACCAATTTTGCACTTGCTAAAATTGCTTGTGTATGTGTGTGGGGGTTATGGAGAGGTGGGTTAATGCATACAAAATTACAGCTAGGTAGGAAAAATAAGTTCTAGTCTATACAGTAGTGCTAGGCATCTACAATCAAAAATAATTTATCGTATGTTCTCAAATGGCTAGAAGAGAGGATCTCAAATGTTCTCACCACAAAGACATGATTAATTTTTGCAATGACAAATTACCCTGATTTGATCATCACATATTGTATACAAGTATTGAAATATAATTCTGTACCTCATAAATAAGTACAATCAATGCATATCAATTAAAAATACATAAACTCAAAAAAAAAAAAACTGCTGTGACCACCTCAAACCAATGTGGACAACCTTAATTTAGTTAGTTCCTGTAGGAGAGAAACCCTTTGATTATTAGGAAAATGTAGACACCTTAAGCAAAAGTACACTCCTTAATATTAGAGAATTCATATTCAACAAAGCCTTTATGGACCAAAAATCTTTCTTAGTGACAGGAAGAGACAATCATAATGATGAAAAACCCTAGAATGTAACGAATGTGGGAAAACCATTTCCAAATTAAGCACCTTTATCAGTTAGGAATGCATTTGGGTGCAATATTAAAATGCCCACCTCACATTAGCTTGCACAAATAGGGGAGCGTGTGTTTTGCGTAAAGAAGTCCAGAGGTGAGTGCTACTTGTTTGGTGGCTTCGTGACATTGGGATTGGTGTTTCTGCTTCTCTTGGCCTGTCCTCAGGCTGGTCACCTCACTGTCACACAGTGTCTGCATAGCTCCAGCCATCGCTTCCCCCATTCTAAGCAGGAGGAAGAGGGGAGAAGGGCGACAGTACAAACCAGCTGTGTGTCTTCCCCTTTGCACTAGGGGAGCGAGGGTTTTCTGTGGGTAGTGAGGAATGGATTCTCTGCAGGAGAATTTGACCTGGTGTTAACTTTCTCAGTCCGTTCCCTGACTAACCTGGAAGGTGGAATGTCCACTGTGTCACTCACTAGGCAATGTTGCTCATGGTATAGACGACTCTCAGTGGTAGACTGTATCTACACAGGGAATTTTAATGGGGATTGGGGTACAGAATTTTAGCCTTCCCACAATGGCGGCTCTTGTGACAGGGGGTGTCCTTTGAAGGGGACCCTGGAAGCTACTGCCATAGAGTGGTTGTGAGAGACACTGGCTCCTGGGAACGTGAGGCTCTGAAGCCAGATGGCTTCCACACACTATTCTTGATGGCGGCTTTGCACCCTCGCAGCTGAGCCGTCCAGGGGCCCAATGAGACTAGCAGTGTGGATGCTGCATGGACTCCCCCGGGAGAGTCCAGCTGGCAAACTGATCTTACTGTTTCTGAGTAAATGGCCCAGTGTCTAATTGAACCTTAGGAGACCTCATGAGTCTGAACATGCTGTTGTTGAACCTTAAAAGACTCTGGAGACCTCTTCCACACAGTTCTCTCATCAGCCAGAGCTGTGTCATGACCAGTCCCCAAGCTCCAGTGTTGGCTGGAGAATCAAGTATGTAGCTTTCCGTGAAGCCAGGGGAGAAGGTCTGGAAATAGGTGTGGGGCGGGCAAGCCCTGGGTGTCTGCTGCACTGCCCCATCCACCTGGTGAGCACTCAGCCTTCTGGGGTTGTTTAGTGCTGAGGCTGAACACCTGCCCTTCTGAGAAGACAGGACAAGTGTAACAGAGGAGCTGGCCTTCCACCTCATCAGGGCTGAGAAATTGTCCTGGAGGGAAACTTTCCTGGAGTATTAATGGGGGATGGCCTTTATATGTTAGAAAACTGATGCACAGTGAGGTTAAGGTAACTCTTCCAAGGTTCCAAGGCTGACAAAGAGGAGAGCTTGGACTTGGACCCATATCTGGGTCCTCGCTTAGCCAAAGTGATTTCCTACCTCCCTAGCCACCTTTATGCACCACCACCATCTGGAATGAGGATGGGTAAAACCTAGCAGGAGCTTACTTTGAGCCAGGCACCATCTGAGTGTTTTAAATATATCAGCTCACCAATCACTGTAACAAAACTGAGGTCAGTGCTGTTACAGACGAATCAACTGAGGCCCAGAGACGGTGTGTCATCAGCTTGAGGTCACCGGTTAGTGAGTGGCAGAGCAGGACTGGAACCCAGGCTCTGAGCAGCCTCAGCATGCAAAAGGTGAGGGAAAGCCTTAAGGAGAGAAAACATGCCATTCAGGTCCCAAGGAGTTCCCTGGAGCAGAACCTTCCAGAAGTCAGAGCTCCTGGCCCCTCTGAGGCTCAGGGTCACAGCCTTCTCTCACCAGAGGCAAAGAGCCCCCCGTGATCACTCTCTGTTGGAAAATGCTTGGGGTCCAGCGACCATCTCAGATGGGGAAGGTTCACACTGCAGAGAAAACCTCCTCCTGAAAGTGCTAATTGCACAGATCACAACCATAAGGAGGAATCCTAAAGTAGCGAGGAACAGTGGGCACCCTGGGGATGTCCCCTCCTGCATGAGGGGGTGGCTGGCAACGGTATGCCTCCGAATGGTACATGTAAAAGTCTAACTTTTCTATAAAGCTAGACATGTGCTTATTACCACCAAAAGGTTGGTGCTGGTCCCAAGCAGTGGAGCCTAACAGTGGCAGCTTCCGTATGAAATAACAGAGAAAGACAGAGCATATGCTGTTCCCGCACTTTGTTCTCCTGATCTAACAGCCAAAGCGCAGGTGAGATGTCAAAAAACCCACCACCCCACCGACAGCTCTGAGCTCGTACCAAAATTCTGCTTGGCCTGAAGTCTCAGGGCTCTGGGGTCCGTGACAACCTGCCTGTACCCTGTCAACTTCCTATACCTGCGTGATGGCCACATGGAGGACACAGGACCCCAGTTCCTGGACCTCGGGCCGAGCTCACTCTCACATCTTTCTCTTAGGGGTCCTCCCAGTGAGAAAGCCACTCTGTCGGTTTCATAAAGTGGGCGCTTAGCATCTAACACTTGGTTTGCTCTTAAAATGAGCAACAGGGTGAACCTGTTCAGATGAGACTCCTGAGTTGATGGCATCTCCAGCCTCCTCTTCAGCCTGTGGGGGGCAGGAGGATAAGGGCAAGGTGAACCTGTGGCACCAGAAGGGACATGGAGCATTCCCGAGAGGTTTATGAAAACCAAAGTGACTTTTTGATCATGTTTCTCCATGCAGACAGCATGAGTAGGGATTTAAACATGTTTTAAAATATAAACTTTTATTATTATTATTATTTTGAAGATTCCTCAGAATACTGCTTGGATCAGGCCAAGAGCCACAAGAGTTAAAAGTGAATTCTACCATGGAAACCCCCAGGGAGTGTCTCCCTTTTCTGCCTGCACGTCACAGAAAACTCCCCCATTCCAGCCCCCTGGTCCCTCTCTGCAGTGGAAGCCACCTAATTAAGTTTACTGTGAATC